GATCTTATCCTATACAGCCCTGACCTCCCATTTTCAGACCCTAGTTTCCATCCTTTCTTCATTTCTGAGACCCTTCCACATCAGTAAAATTCCTGTATTTTTAATATCTTCCTTGAACAAAGTTTTAAAACTTCTGCCACTTAATGTGTATACTCACTTGTCTTTTCTATTGAAGTTGTTAGAAAGAACAACCTGGGGGTGCCTGGGTGGCTCAGATGGTTAAGCATCTGCCTTCGGCTCATAGTCTGTCTCCTATAAGGATGATGCTGTCTTTTCCTGAAGCTCCTTTTTCTTCTTCTTCGATTCTGTTTTATTATTATTATTATTATTTTTTTAAGTAAACTCTACCCACAAAGTGGGGCTTGAACTCACGACCCTGCGATCAAGCGTTGCCTGGTCTCATGGTCTACCACCTAAGCCAGCCAAGCACCCCTCCTGAAGCTCTTTCAAACGTTGATTTTCCCCTATTGTATCTACCTTATCAGTCAGGACTGGAGGTGGGATAGGTGACCTTGTTCCATGTTGTTCTTTCCAGACCATTCTCCTTGTCTTCCCTAAAAACCCTTAGATTTGAATATCAAGCCAAATGATTATATGTCCTTCCTGCTAGCTACTTGTGTATGTTGGTGTTAGCCAACCTCTGCCTGAACTCCATGAATTTCTCAGAGATTCCTCCTGGGTCACAGTCACTCCATTAGTGTTGCTGTCACCATTCCTGGTAAGTGCAGTGTCCACATGGAGTATCCTTGCTCTCTCATGTTCCTTGAGTCCTTTACCTCTAGTCATCTTGTCCCCAACTTAACACTAATACACGTAGTCTGAAGACCTAGTCAGTATCAGTTTCTGGGCCCTCTGTAATACCGGTATTAATTTCATGTATCCCAGTCTGTCCATTGTCTCCTGTCTTTCCAGCTTAGCTGCTTTAGTAACTCAACTCTAGTAATTTTTAGACCCACGCAAAACCCTAACATCAGTTACCAATTATATCTTAACAATTTTCAATTTCCTGAACCCCTCCTTACTCAACTTAGATTTCATGCTCCATCAGTATAATCACTTCCTTACGTTTACTATCTTTAACTTACCTGCCCCTCTTTTCAGTAATTTACATGGTACAGTTTCTCTGCTTAATTACTTAAGTAATTTCTCTGCTTGAATGCAAACATTTATCTGCTCAGCACCTCCACCCATGCAGCTGAGTGTGGTTAGAACAAAACCTGTAACATAGTGTGTCTCCTTTTAAATCCAGGTTAACTGTCTTCAAGTGATTTCTCTGAATCCTTTACATCTCCTGTCAAATCGGTTAGCATTTTGTATTTACTTTTTATTCCAAAAATCTGTTGAGATTCTGCCCTACTTTTTACTATCTCTACTGCTACCGAGTATTGTCCAAATTATCATCTTCTCTTTCTTCAGATTTTTTTTTTTTTTACCAAAAATGGAGGGACTTTTATAGCATGGGGGGGATTTTATAGCGTCACATAACTGAAAAACCCAATAACTATTTTATCTTTAGCTGTGGTGTGATCCAGGGACTCAAAAAATATATATATATCACTGTAACCCAGTCTCTTTTGGCTCTGCTTTCTTCTCTGATGGTTTTTTTTTTTCCTTAGATTTTTACAGTAGCTTCCTCAGTGGCTTCTTTGCTTTACATTTGACTCTGTAGTTTATCCCCCGCAAAGCAGCCCAAATGAACCTTTTAAAATGCCAGATTACATCTTTTTTTTTTTTTTTTGTCACAACCCCCCCAATAACTTCCCATCTCTCTTACAGTGGCTAATGCACACTGTATGATCTGGTTCCTGACTTTTTAAACCTCATTTCCCACTGTTTCCCTTTCTTGCTAACTCATTTCAGCCACCCTGGCCTCCTGCTTTACTCTTACTGCTAACCATAATCTTCCTTTAGGGTCTTTGCACTTACAGTTGTCTCTGACTATGTATTTTACCTGTTAGTCTCTTGCCTTTATTAAAATGTAAGCTCCTTGTTATCTGCAGCACCCAGGACAGTGCCTGGCCAAATAGGCACTCAGATATTTGTTAACCGAACGAATGAATGACCTGTAAAGTGGTTATCCTTTGAAATTGTTAAGCACGTGTTTAAGCAGAGTTGTAGTATGCTTGAGGTAAAATAAATTGCAGGTATGTACAATGTTAATGCCTCTGTCCTTCAGTTGCTTAGATATTGAAGGATATGCACGAAAGTGTTATCAGTAGTTGTCTGTAGTTAATGGCATTTTACATTTTATATTTCATTTTCATACTTGTTTTTCTGAATATTTGGGTAATGAATATGTATTACCATTATTAGGAAATTTTTATTCCATTTTCAAAAACAAAATATGAGAACTAGAAAGATGATGTGGTTCACTGAAGGACAAAAGGAAATTAAATCAAAGCAGTGAGAGTGTTATCACATGTATAATAGAGTGTTGTCATATGTATGAGAGTGTTATCACATGTATGTATTATCACTGGATAATAATTTTAAGGATGATCTTTGAAGAAAGGAAAGATTGTACCAGTGTCTCACTATAACTTTATCTTCAGAATGTATATTTCTGGATCGTTTAGAATTAAGTATTCTAGTAACTGAGTCCTCTTAAACATTGCCCACTAAATTTTAACAGCAGAGGAAAACTATGTGGTGAAGTTCTGGGAGGGCCTATTCTATATCTGCTGTCTCCTTTGTCAGAATCTCAGTTATTTAAAATAACTTTTCTGATTGCTGATGGTCTTTTATGTTCCTAAAATACAGGTGGTGGCTTTTTTAGGACCTGGATTGTATCTTTTTCATCTTTGGGTTCTTACTGCCTACCGCAGTGCTTGGTATATAATAGGGACTCAATAAGTGTTTGATGGATAAATGTTGTTCTTTTCAGTTGAACAGTGGTAGTACTAGTTTCTCATGGTTATCTTTTTTTTTTAAGATTTATTTATTTATTTTAGACAGAAAGTGTGTGAGCTGGGGGAAGGGGCAGAGGGAGAGGGAGAGAATCTCAGGCAGACTCCCTGCTGAGCACAGAGCCCGGCATGGGGCTTGATCTCATGACCCTGAGATCATGACCTGAGCTGAAACCAAGAGTTGGACACTCAGTTGACTGACCCACCCAGGTGCCCCATCATGGTTATCTCTATTAGGAAAAACCTTTTGCTTGGGTAGTAAATTCCCCAGTGCTTTAGATAAGCGTTCGCTGTGATTAGGTTGTTGGTGGACAGAGGGAAGGAGGAAAAACAAGAAAGAAAAAAACACAACAACGACAGTCTGTTCCATTCGAGAAGATGAATGCACACGTATTAAATGACAAACTTCGTGTTTGTTATTTTTAATTGAATAGTGATTTCACTGGGTAATTTTCTTAGTGACATGATTTGTTCTTACTCATGTTGAATTAGGAAAGCATTTTAGCCTCAATATTATGATAAACTAGATGTATAAATGTCAGTGCTAATAGCTTAGTATTTTATTTTAGTCTTCTGCAAATTGATGCCTGTGGTATCAGGACATTTTTTGGCTTGTTCTTGTAAATAAGGTCTCAGTGATGTTTAAGGAACAGCAACTTGTGGCCAGAAAAGAAAAAAGCTCCATATTATCCAGGCTAAGCAATATAAATGAGACTCAGAAATCCCCCACTAGATCAAAAATCTCCTAGGGAAAGATCTCTTGAGCCTACAAACTAAAGACCTTCAATATAATTTTAAATAAAGCCTTTTATGTAGTATGAGAACATTTTTTAGTTGATAATCAATTGCCACTATTATGTAGGCTTAGTAGATTTGCAAATTTACAAGTTTTTACAAGTCAGTTGGGTCCCTTCCTCAGGAAATCAGTTTAAGTTTTTTTTTCCTATATTGACTCAAAGAGCCTAGTTGTCCTTAAATCCTGCAAATATATTTGCCTTATAATTTGACGGCATTGAGTCAACACCCTTATAGGGTCTGTAGTGTTGTAAAAAGAGAAACTGTCCAATAGAGTATCACATTTGAAAAAAATAGACTGTGTTGGATAAAACTAGTATTGGCCATGAGTACCGTGCTTTGCTTTAAAGCACCTACACCTATTCAAGGAAATATTCCCTTACCCATTGCTTTCAAAATGTATACTTTAGGTTTGGAAAGCAACTGAGATGTATCTTTGTGAAATTAAACCATGGTTTCAAATAAAGTAAACATGCAACAAAATATAGCTACCTTTTGGCACAAAATTAATTCTGTATTTGTGTTAACATTAAAGATTGCAGAACTATTGTAATTATTAAAGTAATTAAATTGTTTCGAGCTAAATATGCTTGGGTAAGTGCATCTTAACTTTCAGTTACAGTTGACCCTTGAACAACATGGGGGTTAGGGGTGCTGATCCCTTGCATAGTCAAATCCATGTATAACTTTTGGCTCCCCAAAATGTAACCACAAACAGCCTACTATTGCCTGGAAGAATTACTGATAGCACAGACAGTCAATTAACACATGTTTTGTTTGCTATGTGTTTTATATACTATATTTTTACAATAAAGTAAGGCAGGGAAAAGAATGCTATTTAGAAAATTATAAGGAAGAGTACTTACAGTACTTTACAGTACTGTACTGTAAAAATCCACATCTAAGTTCAAACCCATGATGTTCAAGGGTCAACTATAATCATTATGTTTAAGCATGTTATGCTAAGTAGACCTTTTTTGGGTCTCATCAGCATACCTGAAGCTGTAGGTAATAAGAATGATAGCTTTCATTTTTCAAGCACTTTTTATGTGCTGGTCATTGTGCACCATCCATGGATTCATTCTCAAATAACTTTCCATGAGGTAGGTATATTTGTTAGTCTCAGTTTTTAGATTTATAGACTCAAGCATAAAAAGGTTAAAAGAAATTGTTCAAGGTGACACAGCTAGTGTCTAAGCTGGGATAATATTGGAAAGTAAGTCAAATTTAAACATGTTAACAATGTATTGATTGACTCTGATACCAAGTTTTGTTCTCTGTTTTTGTTTACTTTTCTAGTTGATTTGGAGCATATGCGAACAGTAAAACCTGAAAAACACTTAAGGTTTTGCCAGGAAAATGGTTTTAGTAGCCACTTTGTCTCAGCAAAGACAGGAGACTCTGTAAGTAAAATAATGAATATTGAATATTATGAGTGATCTTTTGTTTAATAATAATATTCATAGGAAGTACACTTCCTAGGCTTAACTTTTGGAACAAATTAATTCCTATTGAAGACATAAAATAGATGTAATATTTATTCTGTTTATATTACATTTATAATTCATTTAACATAGGTTTATGGTTATTTTAGAGAACTTAAAAGTACAAGAGTTAAAAAGAACATAAATAAAAAAAAAAGAACATAAAAATCACCCATTATCTCAGCATCCAGAGATGACCATTCACAACCTCATATGATTCCTTATGGTTTTCTGATGCTCCTCAGCCACTCACTCCCAGGCTTTGTTACCTCCTCAGTGTCAGCCATCCTAATCATTGACCACCCTCCTGTCTTTCCAGCTCATACCCCTGAATGCCCTAATCCAGTCAATCTGCAGTCCTGGCTGGACCTGCTAGAAGCTGATCTTAACACCTTTTTAATGCCCCTAACCTCCTTTCATGTCATTTTCCTCTTTTCCTAATTTAAATTCATGGCCAACCAAAGTCACTGTCATGCATATGCCCTCAATTCCCATTCCTCTCTTTGACTTTATAAAACTCACTTGGCTAAAGCTTAACTCTGGTTTAAACCAAGCCCCCACTATTTTGTGGCGGCACCCAGGCATTTGAACATGATCAGAGAGAAGCAGAGGCATGCCGGAGGTTTCACTTAAAATTCACAATCACTACCCTGAAGTGGGCCCTTAATGCTGCTCAGTAATTATACCACGTGTCCCTAGGCCATCATCACTCCCTCTCACCTAGATGACTGTTTTTATAGCTTCTCTTCTCTCCTCAGAGCTTCAACATTTCCTCATTCATTCTCCCAGCTGATGACCTTGTTTCCTATTCTATAGAAATTTGAAGTCAGCAGAAGATAACTGCATACTTTTGCCACCACATTTACCCCCACTCACCTCATTCCCTGCCTCTGTTCCCGTGTCTTCTGTCTTCTGTACGGTTACTGTGGGGCAAACCTTTTGTGCTCCTGGCTAGGACCCACTCCTGCACTGTGCATTAGTCCCATTTCTCTTGGCCTAGTGACGAACATTGATTGCTCAGCACTTCTCTCACCTTTCTGCGTCATCACTTTTTTTCCGTCTACTGGGTTATTCTCTCAGCATACAAAATATTGTGACTTCTCTTATCTTAAAAACAAGAAACTCTTGATCCCACATTCTTCTCTAGCTGCTGCCTTCTTTCTTTCCCCTAGTTCCAGTGGAATGTGTTTTGAAAGAGTTGTCTCCAGTTTTCTCTTTGCAGTTTCTCTTGAATAGTTTCACCTGGACTTTTTCACCCAGCATTTAACCCGTACTACTGTTATTAAAGTCACCAGTGACCTCGTTTTTGCTAAATGCGGTGGTCAGTTCTTAGTCCTCATCTTACTTAGTTGAAGCATATAAAATAGTTAATCACTCTCTCTTCTTTGAAATACTTCCCTCACTTACCTTCTAGGATACTACACTTCCTGGTTTACTTTTATCTCACTAGCTCTCTCATTTCCTTTTGCTGATTCCCTCTCCAACTTCTGAATATTGGAGTGCCTTAGGGCTCAGCCCTTGGATATCTTTTTCTAAACCTGTTCCCTTAGTGACCTCATTTAGCCTCAGGGCTTTGACCATTCTTCTTCTTCCCTGAACTCCAGACTCATAGATTCCAACTGCCTGCCCAGCACCTCCACTTGGATGCCTAATAATCAGTCCTAATTTTATTCAGGTTCATAACTGAACTCTTGATAGTCTCTCCTGAAATCTCCCATAGTCTTCCCCAGTTCAGTAATTGGCAGATCTTATACTAATTGCTAAGGTGGAGAAAATTTTGGAATCATTCTTGACTCCTCTCTTTCTTTTATACCCACATCTGTCTACTGCCAAGTCCTGTTGGTTCTACTTTCATGATATATCAGAATCTGGTGACTATTTGTTACCCTCTCCACTGCTACCACTTTGTTTCAAGCCTCCATTATCTCTTACATTAGTGTCCTCGCTGACTTCTCTTTTTGTACCCTTGATCTTCTGTAGTGAGAAGACTCAATACAACAATCAGACTGACACTGTTAAAATAGAAGTCACATCAAGCCACCTTCCCATGGCTCCCATTTGACTCAGAGTAAAAGCCAGAGTCCTTCCATAGCCTACCAGATCGTATGTGATTTGCACTCCTTTAATCTCTTTGCTTATTTTCCTTCACAATCACCCACTTTCTCTCCTTTACACTATGATAGCTTTCTTATTTTTCTTGAATGTTGACCATCAGTGAACTATCATATATAATGTATTTTAGGATATAAATGACATAAGCCTTTTGGAGATATGTATTTTTTTTTTAAGAAATCAAAATTAATTGCAACAAATATTCAGTAAGTAATCATGAGATAAGTAGGGGTAAGAATATGCTAAAACACTTATGAAGCAAAGATAAATATAACATTACGGTCTGTGTCTGGTTTGGAGTCCTGGGAATCCTGGTAGGCCCAGTATAAGCTAAGTATGTATGAAAGGCTGTTTATAGAAAAGTACTGTTGATTTCTGTTTAACAATAACAGTATACTGCTCCTTTATTCTGAACCTATAAAATAAAGATTACTAAGTTGTTTTGCTCAAGAGATGTGGAGAATTTATTGAAATTGATAAAAGCCACAAAGATTATTAAAGGGTTGGAAGGTAAGGTCTTTTAAGATAGGCTAACGCCAGATCAGAAGACCAGTATAGAATTGGCACTTAAAAAACCTGGTACTAAAGTACAGACTAATTTATTTTCCCCAGGACTTTTAGGAGTTTGTTATGTCAGTAGCCTTTTTTTTTTTTTTTTTTTTTTTTAATGTGGTATCTGTAGTTAATTCTCTTATGTTAAAATTTTTTAAATGTAGGGGCACCTGGGTGGCTTAGTCAGTTAAGCGGCTGCCTTCAGCTCAGGTCATGATCCCCGGGTCCTGGGATCCAGCTCTGCGTCGTTGGGCTCCCTGCTCAGTGGGGAGTCTGCTTCTCCCTCTTTATCTGTCTCTCCTGCTCGTGATCTCTCTCTCTCTCAAATAAAATCTTTAATAAAATAAAATAAAATATTTAAAATGTAAATTTTTAGGGATAAATGTCTTTATGTTTAGATCAATTTAGTGAATTGCATGATTTTCAAATTATGGTTTAATCATTTAAAAATTATTACACTTAAAATGTTACTGTATTTGACAAAGCTATTTTTGGAATAACCTGGTACATCATATTTTCACAATTCTTGATGTTTATCATTTTTTAGAAAGTTCATTTTATTTGAAAGTAACTTAAGCATGCCAATTTTAAATCATTTAAACCTATTTTTTTATGTAGGTCTTCCTGTGTTTTCAGAAAGTTGCTGCTGAAATCCTTGGAATCAAATTAAACAAAGCAGAAATAGAACAGTCACAGGTGATTATATTGGACTTTATATTTTTAAAAAACAATTTATTTCCTAAAGACATTAATTTTCACCACTGACTCCTTTCACATTTATGCATTCTATGTACATATCCCTGAAAGCCTTAGGAATGAATTGTATGAATGAATCAGTGTTTATTGTGGAAGATGGAGGATGTTAACTTTTTGCCCAATTATGATACCCTTGAAACTTCATTTTGTCCTCAAACTGAGATTAATATAATACAGATTTCATCAGTGGTTAAATAATGGGCTAAAATGCTGACCATATTGTTTTGTACTTCCTTATTTAAGTTCTTCCAGGATTATTGTACCACAATATTCTTTTTTATTTCATACAGAATCCCAACAATTTATCTAGATTTAGTCTTAGAGTTTACTCCATTTGGCATCCTCCATGTTCACTTTGGTAAAACATTATTTTTTCTTTAAGTCTGTGTTCTCTGTTCTCTAAAACATCCCTCACTGTAATGATACTAATTCTTGCTGTTCTTTTATTGTTAATTTAGTACACAATTTAATAATGGGATTAACTATTGAAGATTTCTAACTCTTTCACTATTTCTAGATAATTCTTAGACTAATAAATGTGAATACCAACAATCAAGCATTTAAAAATACCACCATAATAGTACACCAATTCACATGTTTGATAGAATGAAAAATCAGAGTAAGAGCCTAGGGTTTAAAGTTAAGCTTTTGGTTTGCTGAGAAGCAACAAATAAATAAATTTTTCCTCAATCCCATCCACTCTATGTCCATCCCATATAGCTAAAAAGATATAATTGTCTTTTCTCATCCTTATATTTTCTTTAATTTTTTCAGTGTTCTGTGTCTTATTTTCATGGTCACTGTGTGTGTGTGTGTGTGTGTGTTTGAAGACAGAGCAAATATCAATTGAAAATTTTTATGCTGATGTGACTGTTTCTAGGACTTGATTACAATATTTGAAACTCTGGAAATCTCTTTTTATTTCTCATTTTTCAAAAGACATTTATTTCAGCACTTATTATGGTCAGGCAGTGTTAAGATATCTTATGCCATATAAATTACTCCCAGACAAATAAAAATAGTTACAGTTGACTCTTGATAAACACAGGACTTGGGGGCACTGAGCCTCCCCCTCCACCCCCACAGCATGGTTGAAAATCCACGTGTAACATTGATGCTCCCCAAACTTAATTACTAGAGCCTACTGTTGATTGGAAGCCTTACTGATAACATAAACAGTTGATTAACACATATTTTATATGTTATATGTATTATATACTGTATTCCTTCAAAAAAGTAAGGTAGAGACAAAATGTTTTTAAGAAAACCTTAGGAGGGGCATTTGGGTGGCTCATTTGGTTGAGCTTCTGACTCTTGGTCTCAGCTCAGGTCTTGATCTCAGGTTTGTGAGCTCAAGTCCCATGTTGAGCTCCACGTGAGCTTACTTAAAAGAAAAATCATAAGAGGAAATACATTTATAGTATGGTATTTATAAAAAAAAAATCCACATACAAGTGGACTGGTGCATTTCAAACCTGTGTTGTTCAAAGGTCAGCTGTGCTTGGCTTTGGCCTAAGAGGATGACTACAAGAAAGAGAAATCACCATGATTTGCTTGATTGCACAGAACTTGGCAGACTCCAGAGGTCAAGTGATTCCTCTGCTTTTTAGTTTCTCTTTCTAAATGATGTTTGTCTCTGGTAAATTAGAGAGTTAATGAGTGATTCTCAAACAATCATAAACAATTTATTGATCATATATATGTGGCATAGTGATGGGTCTGAAGAAGATTTAAAGGAGTTTAAGATGCATAGTTCTTACCTTAAGTGAAGAAAATATTATGTGCCAGGCACTGTGTTATCTCATTGAACTTTCTTCATAACTCTGTGGGGCAGGTGGTAATTCATCATTTTATGGGCAGGAAACTGAAACTGTTGGGAGGTTAAGTAATTTGATCCACTGATACATGGTTAGGCAGTGGTGGAGGCAGGATTTGAACTCAGGCTTGTTTGACAGCAGTGCCCCTAGTGTTCCCACTCTGTTCTATTAGGGGCAGATTTACTGGCAGTTTGAAGTGGGAGGAAGAAAATGGCAGAAAGAGAAGCTGGCATGAACAAGCTGTAAAGCTTAGGTTATATTTTGGAAGCAGAAGAGCAGTTTGGTTAAAATAAATGACTGTTGCATTGTAGTGTGAAGGGAATCTGAAAAAAGATTATGGAGATTTATGAATACCAAGTTGATAAATTTTATTTAACATTGATAATGGGAAATAATTTTTTAAGCAGAGAAATAAATGAAAACAGTTTTTAGGTAAGAATCAAATGGTTGTGCATGTGTGTGCACGTGTGTGTGCGCGTGTGTGTGCGTGTGTGTGTGGTTGGTTGGTTGGTTGGGAAGGAGATGGAAACAAGATTACACCGCCTTCATGTGATAAGGATCAGAATCAAGGTGGAAGGGAAGCAGTGGCTGTAAGAGAGCAGAATCAGCAGCGCTTGTGGAATGCTGGGTAAAAGAGAGAAGGCCAAGATGACTTTGAGATTTCTCTCCGAATGCAATGGAGAAAGGGGAACCCTTGTGATTGGTGGGCCCTCCTAGAGTGAAGGTGTGCTGGTAGGTCACAGGCAGCCACCTGAGGAAAGAATTCTGTATACTGCGTTATCTGCACTGTGCCCAGGTTCAGGAATAACACCAGAGAGATGGACTAACTTGGATACTTTTAAACGGCAAAATTATAGCGAGGCTTGATTAGTGTTCTTGGCTCACTCTTAGTCACTCTTAGTCACAAGAGCCAGAAAGCTACTATCTTGACTTTAGGGATGGACTTAACATCTAGGCATATTTTAACTAAAGAGGTATCAGATGTGTTAACTGCATAGCAGGCTCTCTACCCTTCCTGTACACGTTACCTTTTCAGTGCACCCCGTCTTGTTTATTATGTGATGACACTTAACTCAGTCTTCAGTTTGTTGGTGGAGTTTACTTTGAATTCATTCATTTGAAGATGAATTCACATTATGAGAGCCCTCTTTTCTTATGTTTATCAGAATCCTTTGTGTAGGGAAGCCTCATTCTTCTTCCCCAAATCTGATGAATTTGGTGCCTTTGCCAATTAAATTACTGATTTCACAATTAACAACATTTCTCAGTGGAAACATTTTCGAAAGTTCAGATTTTAAAAAGTGGTTTCTAAGAACCTACATGCAAGCCATGTTGAGCACAGTTCTTTCTTTTTTTCAATTGAAATATATTTGACATATAACATTGGATAAACTTACGGTGTATGACATGTTAATTTGATTGTAATATGATTGTCATTGTAGTGATAGCACCTCTATCACATTCCATAATTATCTTTTCTCTTTAGCAGTTGGAATAATAAGTTCTAATGTCTTAACACGTTTGATGATTATAATACAATATTGTTGTCTGTCTTCACTGTACTGTGCATTATATCTCTAGGGTTTATTAACTATTCGTTTTAAATTTGTACCCTTAAACATCTCTTTGCCCTCCTTACCCCTGACCCCTGGCAAGTACCATTTTACTCGTTTTCACAAGTTTGGCCTTTTAAAATTCCACATATAAGTGATATCACACAGTGCTTGTCTTTGTCTGACATCTGTCACTTAGCAAAACATGCTTGAGGTCCATCCATGTTGTCACAAATGACAGAAATGTCTTCCTTTCTCATGGCTGAATAATAGTCCATTGTATATATATGTACTACATTTTTAAAAAAGATTTATTTATTCATTTTAGAGAGAGAGCACATGTGTGTGTGGGGGGGGGAGAAGGGCAGAAGGAGCGGGGAGGCTTATTCAGGCTCCATGCTGAGTGCAGACCCTGGCTTGGGGCTCGATCCCATGATCCATTAGATCATGACCTATTAGATCACAATCTGAGCTGAAACCAAGAGTCGGACGCTCAACAGACTGAGCCACCCAGGTGCCCCATGTATGTACTACATTTTTTTATCCATTCATCTTTTGATGGGCACTTAGGTGGTTTGTATATCTTGGGCTATTATAACTAATGTTGCAATGAATATGGGGGTGCATATATCTTCCAGTTAGTGTTTTTATTTTCTTTGGCTAAATACTCAGAAGTAGAATTGTAAGATCATATGGTAGTTCTGTTTTTAATCTGGGGGGAAACCTCCACACTGTTTTCCATAGTGGCTGCTCCAGTGTATGTTCCCCCCAGAAGTGCAAAAGGGTTCCCTTTTCTCTACATCCTCCCTGGCATTTATCGCCTGCTTCTTGATGATGGCCGTTCTAACTGGTGAGCGAGAGAGTGGGAGAGAAAAAGAGGTGGGGCAGGGAGGCAAGGCAAAGAGGGAAAGAGAATGCACACTTGTTTTCTGTGTTTTTTGAAAGATTCCTGAGGGAATTTTGTGTAACATTTGAAAGTGTTTTGTATTATTTTCTGGAGAAGAAGCTAGTTGGTAGACTCACCAGTCACATGGAAACTGATGCTGTAGTAATTCAGTTTGTGACATAGGTATTTATAATCAGATTATAGTCTTGGTTCCATTCAGTGATTATATAAAGAGATTCTGCTATTTTAGTCTAACCTAATTTGTTCCTTATGTACACTCTAGATGCTTTTTCCAGAGTCCCCGATTTAAGCAATAGTTGCATTTGTATCATTTATCTGTTCTCTTTTCTCCCCTAGCTGTTCTCCTCTAAGATAGTGTAAAAGCTGGGACTAGTTGTTAACAAATGTCCTCATTTCTCATATTGTTCAAGTTTTTGTGTTTGTTTACAAAGTCATCAAACCTTTAGGGGAAAAAATGAATTTCCAGTTGCTATGCTCTCAAAGGTGTAGCGTTCAGCTTTTCAGTAATACATTAGATAATCCAAGAAGAAAATGCATACTCCTGTGTCTTATCTCTTTCAGTCTGAATTGCAAGGAGGTTTTGCCATATATACTTGATGTTAAGAGTTTTATTCATTCATTCATTCATCAGAGAGAGAGTGAGTGAGAGAGCACACAAACGGG